GAGCCTGTTCAGATTTCAAGTCTGCAAGAAGGGAATTTTGGAATCTGCTCCACATATTTCTGAAGGTCAGAAAAAAACCAGAAAATGCCTGAGAACAATAGCAAAAGATAAAATGGGCAGGAAAACACTAGAGGACAAACTTAGTATCAGGATCAAATACTTAAGAGCTTATCATAAATTGATAATAAGGGATTTTAGACTCATTTGACTTATAATCCTAAGGGTCAGCTCCTTAAAGGTAAGATGCTGGCTTCTCTACACTAGACCTGGTTCTTACATGCTGTAAAGGTGACAGTTCGTTCAGGTCAGCACAGATTCCAGAGGAACATCGGTGGAAGATGGCTAAGAGTTCCACAGCAGCCACCCTGACTCTGACTCTGCTTTATCAAAGTCAACATGCAGATAAAGCATACAGAGAACATGGACCAGCTATTGCGTACCAAGCTCCTTACAACCAGATATACATCCTTTGACATGAAACCATGGTTCAATTCCGTTTTTAAGGCAAGAGGGTTTATAGCAACTGCTGCAATTTTCCCTCTGGTGCTAATCTTGATGCATTTAGAGTAGTCTGCCAGTTAGGAAGTCTACAGCTCTGGGTAGATGCACCCAAAGACCTAGCAAATGAAATAAACTGGAGCAGCTGCACTCAGTAGCTTGCCAACTATCAAATGACCAAATTTGCCCATAAAACCTCAGTAAAAGATTACTGCAGCAGTAAAAGATTACTGTTTATAACAACCCTCTTTATATTCAGAGGTTAAATCTCACATTTCTGAAGTGCTGAGATTATTTGTATATGTGTGCTACTCCAGTTGATTAACAAATCTTACTGGTGTGTGTACAGATATAGACCTCACCTTCATGTATACAAATTTCTTTATGAATAGAGCATTTTTAAAATATCGTAACTTATTTGAAACCTACTTACAAGTTTTAAAAGATACCATGGTCATATGATAAATAATGGCTAAATTATGAGTTCTTCAAGTGGTAGAATGGCTGTAATAAATAGATCAAAGACTTCCTAATGCTAATATCCATAAGAGTAATAAACAACAGGATTTCCTCTCTTGTAATGCATGTCATGGTTCTTCTCCATAAGGCTTCACATTTTTTTGCCCGCACACAGGCACGCACAGGCTCACAGAGCAGATGTGAAAGTCACAAGTCTCTAATGTATTTCATGCTCCAGTTCAGCAACTGTGAGGGTATGCTGAAGACAACGCTGTGACTAACACGGCCAAGAAATTCCTGAGAGAATAAGAATGATCGTTAACAGTTCTGAGAAACTCTTCCTCTGGGTTATTATCCCATAGGGAGAGATAGTGGGTTTTAGCGGTCTTAACCAAACAAACAGCTCTGAGAAACTAGACATATTCCCTCTGAGATTACAGCAAATGCAAAACAAAAAAACATCTTATGTTAAAAGTGTTTTGAAGCATTCATGATACTGTCACTGAAGTACTTGGACTTCTTCCTGCTTTGTGCATCAGGTCAGAGTTTCCATACTCCCGAAGGAAACTATGCATTGGCTGAAAAAAAGAGAAAGTCTCATTTACTCTACTGTTATCTTTTCACAGCTGGCTTGATTGAACAGCGGTGAGGCATGGGCACATGTAGTGACTATTACAGCCACCAGAAAACAAAACAGTAGCAACTCAAGTGGATGCCTGTTTAAGTGATTTACATCTGGAACCACTCTGCTCACACACACCGAAGTCACTGAAAGGGAAGTTGCTTGAAAACTGTATTTTCTTGTAGCTTTATCCAACTTCTTGAGCTAGCTGGCAAATGAAAGGTGTGATCCAGTCCCAGGGCACCGAAAGCCAGAAATAAAGTAAAAAACCCCCCAAACTACCTGACTAATGTCTTAAGATCATTTCAAGAAGTGTCAGCCTCCTTTTTTCTAACACCACCTCCTTACACTGCCTAAAGCAACTCCGCCATCCTAACACAGGTTCAGCACACAAAATAACACTTTCCTGTATGCATGAAGTAATGAGCAGTATTTCCTCAACTGCCTCTCATGCATTTTAAGCCGTTTCCAAGCAAATCAAGTTAACAGGGTAGATGGGGAGGAAGAAAGATAGTTTTGTGACTAAGAAGCAAGGCCAACTAAGTAGCAACTCAACTGTTGGTACTCCCACAGATTTCCCAGCTCAGTCTTCTGTGCTCCTTTAGTCTCCAAAAAAATAACACCAGCAAAACTATTTCTAATATCTAACCTTTAAGGTCTCTGTGTTACATTTCTTAGTATGCTGAGACAGTGACTAGCACAATCAAGTACTGGTTGCAGGCTGACATTCATTACTTACGTATTACTGTGACTCTCTATTTGCTGGTACATAGCATCAGAGTTTCCCTGAACAGAACATTTGATAGCATCACTCATTTATCTGTATTGTCATACAGCCCAGATGGTTGCAGTATGTAGGCAACTGGGAACCAGAGCAGCAGGAGGAGTACATCCTGCTGCAGTTTTCCCTCTGGTGCTAATCTTGATGCATTTAGATTAGTCTGCTGGTTAGGAAGTCTACAGCTCTGGGTAGATGCACTCAAAGACCTAGCAAACGAAATAAACTGCAGCAGCTGCACTAGGTAGCTTGCCAACTATCAAATGACCAGATTTGCCCATAAAAACCTCAGTAAAAGATTACTGCAGTTCAGCCGAGTGACAATTCCCTTCTGTGCAGAGTGAATTTTCTTTTGAATTCCACAAGGGTGGCATTCTGTGGCAAATGGGTCTGTTATTAAAGATCAACTCAGAAATCTGTGTACTTCAGTAGATTAACTCTTACTGTGATGTACAAACCCAGAGACAAAGAGAAAACAAGACTTCTTCCATTTGGCAAATGCAATTTTATTTCTGGATTAGTTGTAAGAGTTAAAATGTTAAACATTCTAACATGTATACCCCTGCCAGACACCTTAATTGGCATACTGGAACAATATCGCAAATTAAGAAAGTCAACATGATTAATCATCTCCATATAAGTAGAGAGTTCTCAGGAATGTAATTGTTATTTTCCTGTGTTACAGAAAGGAGAGTTTCCAAACCTTGAAAAGGCAAGATTTCAGTGGGAATTTAATATGCCAAAGAACTATAAACTGGCTATCATTAATCCAAGTCAGAAAAATCTAAACACAATATGAAAAACAGAACACAAGCTGGGAGATATAAGGAAGGAAAGAAGACAATGACATTTCTAAGGCAGTATCTTGATAATATATAAAGAAATTACTAAGTCTACAACTGTAATCATACTTATTTAAAGCCAGGTTAGTACAGATTTTATGGTCTTGAGGAATTTACTTAAACAGAAAACATAGTCACTAAGAGTGAAATGTTACACTTAGTGACTTCCTGCACAGTTTAGTCACATATATAGCCTCACTGAGAACGAAGTACATAACTGCAAACTGTGAATCGCACCCAAATTTTCCACCCATGACTATACGAGGGAGTAATTTTTGCCACCAATACAAAACCTTGGTAGTACAAAGGTGACTACACATAATGATTTTATCTGGACTACTTGCTAGCTATTTACTTTGCTGGTAGAAAAGATTCTTCATACTGTATAAGCATCACCAAAATTATTCCTTACAATGCTAGCATTCCTGGTATTACTGATTCTTCCACCAGCAGGATTTTTATACTCAAAACAACTCACAACTACGCAACAGAAATGGACATTAAGAGAGCTACAAGAATATGAGCGAGAACACAAGTTACCTATATACATTCCCATTTCCGCAGGAAAAAAAAATCACTATGTACAGAGTAAAAATATAATCCTTTTCGCACCCAAACTGGTCTGTGAACGTGTAATCACAAGTGTTGCATGTGGGAACAGACATCTGTGTTCTATCTTCGTTTGTCATTTTGGTGTCTATTTCCAGGAAAATTGGAAGATAATTTTCAAAATTTGGCCCCCCAAAATAGCAAAGAATAGACTGAGTTGTCACAGACCAAATTATGTTCACGGTCAGTCCTTCTCAATGACCTTGCAAAAATTTCTTGCTGTATGTTTATAGAACAACTTGAAATTACTCAAATTACCTGAAGAATCTGAAGTCTCTAGTTCAATTTACAGGTCTGATTGCTCACATTTCTTTCAAATAAAGATGCATTTCATATGGTAATTGATTTCCTATTAATTTACAGAGCAGCAGGTTTCTGCAGTGGAAAGACTTAACTTCTCCAGCATAGCCACCTTTAAAAAAATGTCCTGCAGAAAAAAAGAAAGAATGAAACAGATGCTGTTAGCCTTAGTGCAATTTTAGTCTTTCTGCACAGTTTTACATAACTGGATCTCAGTTGAGTCATTTTGATTTGTATTGTAAGTAATAATTTAGAGGACCACAAATACCCACATGCAACAAGAAAGCTTACCTTGGTTCTAGAGATCTATGACTGTCCTTACAGTAGTTACAGCATAGAGAAATCATACACAGTAAACTGAGTTTGTAACACCCACATAATTTCAGGACAAACCCACTGTATAGCAACAAATTAACACAGGCAAACTTCAGTGAAAACCAAACAGTCACGAATACTTGTTTATGGGCACACTGTCATATAATACACATGGACACTTGTTCTTTGGACAAGCCTTAACAAGGAAGTAATTTGTAGTTACTTATATACTTATGAATTCACAAAGCCACAGCAGTGGTCCACAGATAAGTAAAAAAAAAAAAAATTAGATTAATCCTACTTTTTAAGCAGGGCCTATTTATTTTATAGTCTGGCAGATGATAAACCAATTCTGCAGAGGACCTCTAAGGGACATTATGAAGTAGAAACTAAAAACTTACATTTTAATAGGACAGGCATGGCAAAAGCCCAAAGAACACTCCAGCACGCCAGGAACAAAAGCAAGCATGGCATGCAACGCACAGGCAGGCACATGCTGAAAAAATAACGCAGCCTCACAATGGACAGTCATGTTAACCCAGGTCTGGCTATTCACCATGAGGGAACACTGCAGTGGCTACAGCTGCAGGAGATACCCTTGTCTGTACACGGGTGCACTGCCTTCAAAAACCTTTCTGTGTGTGTTGGGACTGACTGCTGTTGATGGAATAGTAGGGCTACATATACAGGATATGAAAACAAAAATAACAGTGTCAGTTATTTCCTTGCTTGTTAGTTTATGCATAGGTATTAAACACAGTTTTACAGCAATCTTCAGTTGGTGTTAGCCAGTAAAACTATATTGATTTACAGCAACTAATACTCTAGTATTCTACATAGAACAAGAGTCCGGGTTAACGGTGACTACGAAACTTTCCTCTGCCATTTTACTTGGTAGGAAGGATATCTTCAAATCTTTTCCATCAAGTCAAGCTATAAAACATTGGTCTTGCTTTTGAAACTGTTTATTCAAAGTAAAGCAAGCTGTATCAACTTGATACTTCTATCACACTTTAAGCCATGGATTCTTCTGTTTCACACCTATGCTGATTATCTTTAAAAAAGGACTCTGAACACCAAAAATTGCCAAAACACCCAAATCACTTAGCTCTTTTGAAAATTTTACACTTAGGTTGGCTTAGACAAGGATAGTGACTGCAATGTAATTAAAAAAACCCAACAGAAAACAGAATTACATGTCTGGTTGTGACAAAGAATGCTTATGGGCATTTGTTTCCCCAAATTACGATCCATAGGGCCACGGTAAATGATCTAGACTGAAGTAAATAATTTCTAAAAAAAACCCCAATGAACCCAAGATCCTCAAACTTTAAACCAGAACTATGAGGGTGTAGTCACATACAACCAATTCTGAGAATCACCATTTTGGAAAGTCTGGGAACCACTGCTGTAATGCATGATAGCTACTTAAAACTATGAAATTAGCAACCATGTGATGCAGAAAGTTATGCAGCCCACAAGAAGCAAATATTTGAGATACGACTGATAAAAAAGGCAAACAGTATAGACTATTGTTACTAGCCTCTTAATCCCTGGAGAAAGAAAGTTTATGCACTTACATTTCATCATCATATTCCTTTGGAGGTGATGCCGCAATGACTAAGTCAATCCAATCCTGAAAAAGAAATGCACAGGCAAATGTGTGCTGCTAAATACTGCTTTTAGAGATGGTTAGTGGACCACCATGGAATATCAGATAGAGAACCAGGAAGGCAATCTATTCGTGGAAAACCACAGGGAGCAGCAGAAAGTTGTCTATTAATAGGAAGACCATTTCAAGATTGAGCAGGATTTGTATCCTGAAGTTAAAGAAAAGTCTACTGGTCTTGCAATAAGCTTTTAAAAAGAATTATTCTAAGCTTTTAAAAATAATTATTCTAAGAATCATCCTGTATTTGATCATCTTAGCAATTAATTTAGTTCTTGCTGGGAAAACACTTGCTGCAGCTGAAGTGCAGTGTTACTTGTACATTAAGAAATCAAAGATAAGATAAGGTATTATCATAAAATTCCAATCAGCTTGCAAATAATTTTCAATATCAAGGACAGATTCTACAGACAAATGTACTACAAACACTCAGAATGTAATGTGTTTAAATACCAATCTTGACAGGTGGCTAAATGCCATGAACTTTCACAGTAAATTGTATGTGTTATTTTTCAGAGACGCTACATACCAGTATCTTCTGCAGATTTCGGCTCACTTTGATCGTACATGACATACCTGTTACTTTTGGTGTTTCCAACCTTATTTGTGTTGATGTGACAATGTCATGAAAAAAAAGTATACCTCATATAAACATTGTAGGTAGAATGAAAAAGTATTCCAGGTTACTTACCCCACCCATGCTCCAAGCTTTTGCTAGAGTTGCCTGTGCTTCTGCCAGCCTGCTGTCAATTAATATCTTGCCATTTACAGCTAGTATTTCATCCCCTTTCACTATGCCTCCTGGTGAAAAGACCAATATGGTATACATATATGTAAGCAAAAATTCTGTGAGCCTTTTCTGCCCCATACTTATGGAGTACTGACTATAATGAAAAGTGTCTTCACTAGATGTGAAGGCTTACACTAAAAATTGATATAGACAAGAAAGTTTGCTGCAGGTGAAAACAAAAGGAATTTTTAGGCATGGAAAAGCCACACTAATCTGTTATTGATCATGACCAAGAAATTAGTTCAAGAAAGATTTTCTGTAGTAGCAGCTTGCCTGTCTGGGTAATCCATCTATGCAGCTTACAAACTGTGGTTGATTGTAGGCTGTTACAACTATGAAAATGGCAGCATTACTTAAAGACATGAAGGTATAAGTGGCATTTGTCAAGGGTTTGCAGGACTGTCATTCCTTTGCAAGATCATGTGTAATGTTCAGTCCTTTGAAATGGATTTTAAACTTCTTACTCTGGAATGAAGCACAATCAGCTAACTGGGACTGGATTTAAAATGGAGAGAAGACTGATGGTAAGGGGACAGCCTTGGCTATAAGAGACCCTCACAACAGTGAAGAATCAAAGACAAACAGAGTACTTGAGAGATCAAATGGCTGAAATGGTTTCACAGCAAGAGTGACTTGAACAGGTCTTGGTGAGTGCAGAAGTGACTTGCAGGTGGGGACAAGGTCAGCAAAGACAACATAGGGAGGTATTGTCCTGCCTGTCTACTTGGTCATCACCAGAGTTCTCAAGGAAAGGATGAGAGACACTGGCTACCAAGAGCAAAGCCTTGGATGTGTTGGTATGGCATGTTCTTGTGCCTTCCAGAGAGCTAGGTTGTTAGTTGGAAGGCTCTGACCTTTAGTGGGATTTTGGGAGCAAAGCCAGGTGTTTTACAATATTGAAAGTAGCACTAAGAACAAAACTAAGCAGTGTAATACAGCAGTGGTCAGGTAATTGCTTTGCACATGCAAGCATTACAAATGTTGTTGCTTGGAAACTGTGAAATCATATTCTGCTTTCCTTAGTTAACAGCATATCAGAATTAACAAAGAATCAGGTGTTGTTTTGTTTTTTTATATCAGATTGGAAAAAGAGGAGTCCTTATTAAGAGAACAGCTCTACATTTTCAGGCCATATTATTGAAAATTCTGTAATGATAAAAATACAGCAGCAGTGACCATTTCTTCTTAAACATTATTTATAAATTTTACATAATTATTAATTTAAGCAGCACCCTTCAAGCCTGAGCTGCCCTTAGAGCTGAAACGGAACTTGGCTGCCTTGGACAATCTAAGTGTGCCTCTCAGTACTAGGCATAGCTATGAAGTCAGCCAACAACTCTCAGCCAATATAAGGAACCACTTTGTATTCTTATTCCCCATTGTTACTCACCATGTTTGTCTGCAGCACCACCCTCATAGATGGCAGACACGACTATCCTTCCAATTGGAGAATCAATTCCTCCCTCAACTGCAAGGTCTAACGATCCTTCCTATTAAAAAAAGAGTTTTAGTTCTGAAAAGGCTGTTAATTTTTGCTGTCAACAGGAGCTTAATCCTTCCTTCTTCCCAGTAAATGGGACTATATATGAAATACTTACATGAACACTTTAAATATCAATCAATACAGTATTTACCTTTTTAATTCGTAACAGCCGTACATCTTTTCCCATAATCTGCTCTGGGGTAAACTATGAAAAGATATAATGATTAGTCACTTCCTTGGAACACAAAACAAATTAGGCTGATCTATGTAGTTTATGGGAGAAAAGGGACCCTTCCCTCCTCCAAAATAGTGTTAGAGGAAAATCAGAACACTAGATTGTCTCTTCCTGCAAGAAAGCTCCTTTTCAACATGATTAGAAAAGACAAATACACAAGCCTCAGAAAGCAAGAATCGTAACCCCCTCCCAGCCCTGAAAATCAAGGATGGTTCTTTCCCAGTGTATTTCATATTAAACAGCGAGACATACTTGTCTCCTTACCATTGAATATGGATCAAAATCTTCCAAGTATTTCTGGAAGCCCTGAGAATAAAACAACACTTAATTGTAAAAACATCATGCTCATACACACACTTAACACACAAGCTCCATTTTATTTATTAGTGAGAAAAATATAATTCTGTAAGCTATGAAAGACGACAGTAAATGGAGAAAAGCATAGAAAGGCAGCAAATAGTCCGTCCTGACAGTCAGAAGACGTTTCAAAACCTTGTAACAGATCAGCAGTTTGAGCTGGTTATACTATGGAGCAGACTGGAGGAACAGTTTACCACTGTCAGCTCCACAGTTCCTCTCTACACCTAACAGAACAGAAAAAAATCTTGAAAGCATCATGGGTAGGTACTTCTTCTGAGCAACGTTTCTTGGGACTATCACCATGCTGGGCACTATCTAACACAGGCAAAATTGACAAGCTCCAATTCACCTGGCAGCAACCATTCAGGTATCTGGGTTGTAGGACCCTCTTCCAGCCCCCTTCTCTCCTTTCCATGGAGTTTCAGGGAGTTGGCTCCATACTACAAGTGAATGCAGGGCAACAACCAATTTTGTTTTCATATGGTTCTGTGGAGGGCTTAGAAGTTTTGGCAGTGACTGTCTGAAATGGAGAAGATAATTTCACAACTACGTAGAGCAAGATTTAAGCTTTGAGAGGTCCCACACCTTCTTAAACTTTCAAAACCTAGTGCACTACCCTTGTCAGACCAACACTGCAGGGAAAAAGCAGGAGTTACTTTTTCTGCAAAGATGAGAGTTCCTGAGTCAGCAATCAGGAATCAATGGTGTTTGGGTGGCGGTTTCTTGAAGAGCATTAGTGGTTATGGGGTGCGACTATGGGTGATGCTGGAGATTTATAAAAACTCTGCACTTATCCTGCATGTTAAAGTAAAGACTTCAGGACTTCAGAGAAATCTTTACTGAGGCACCTAAATGCTGTATCACTCTTGTGGCTTCAAGCTGCAATAAACTGGGGATATGGGAACAACACAACCCTTTGCTGACACAGCAGGCAAGCAAGTATCTGACGCAGACCAGCAGTTCAGTGCATGATCAAGCTTGATATATTCATTATTACCCTCTTTTCTACAGGATCCATCTGATACAAAATATATTCCACTCTCAGACTCAGCTAAGCCTTTTCCACTTGTAAATCAAATGCACAGCTTAAGGTTCCTCTGGTATCTTTAAGGGCTGGCTATTGAATGACAAAGTTGCAGCACAAAACACTAATGCATCCACCTTTATCATCTCTCTCAGTTGCCTAATTTTGACATGATTATGAATGATCCTCTGGGGTCAGATCTGTTCCTCACTGCCTCTGACAAAGTCATTGAGCACTACTACACAGCTCTGCCTTAGCAGATCCTCAAATATACAACAGTGCTGCCCATTTGTCTAACTATACTTGCACACACCATACAACCATGGGGCTGATGCCTCTTGCATGGACTGGCAGTCATTACACACAGCCGTACTGAATTGTACGGCATGAACCCTGGCTTTCCTGCAGGCTGCCTCTCTCTTCACCTTTTCCCTGAGACCAGAAGACCAACTTAAGCAAATCATGTCCTCATTCTGTGTTTCTTCTGAGACAGAAGAAACATTTGCAAGGGTTGAAGCATGATTTTATCTCCCCAAGCTCCAGAGAGCTAAATCTTCAGGGCACAACTGCAGAACTTCTGCTTACTGCCACAAGCACTTTTTTGTTCTCTTTTTTCCATAGTGAAACATGTATTAAAAGCATCTTTTGGGAATAGGAACATGAGAGACCTTATTTAACATTTAAATTAGTATGGGTTGCATCACATTGGTTAACTGCTAACTTTGAGGAACTAAATAAATGGGAATTTGATCACAAACTTCAGCAAGGTAGAATTTCATCCTGGGGGAGAAAATCCAATCATTCATTCATTCATTCAAAAAGTATACAGTATTATGACTAGTTTTACTAAAACTGTAAGAGAAACATTTTACAACGATAACTACCTAAACAACTAATAGTTTGAATAGCTGAATTTGTATTGACCTTTGGAATCATGGCTGAAGTAGACATCTATGGTCTTGGAGCAAGCAACTTAGAGGAAAGAACTCCAATCTCAGCCAAGTCACTAATTCATTATGTAATCTAAAGGATGTCATTGAACTCTCTTTGTCCCAGGTCGACCTCATGAAAAACAGATGTTGCCCTTGAAGAAAGTTTTCCTGGGAAAATAATTTTTCAACAGGGGAAAAAAAAAACCAACAAACCAAAACTAAACCCTACAATGAAAAACCTGCAAGCAAAGGAGTGATATGATCTGGACCCAATAACGTACAAATACAGCTATGATACAACAAAGACAACTGCTGAACTGTAATAAATCTTTCTAGAAATGGGCATCACAAATTTGGAGAGCAGAGAGCACACTCCATTTCCAAGCACGGACTAACAAACAAAGCAACACTGAGTGGAAGCCACAGTGCTAAGCCCACACTCCCACCACTCAGGACATCTCTGGCAATAGAGTTAAGACCATTCTAATCCTTTCTTGACTTACAAGAACATTTATAGGACTCAACATAAGTAGAATCTGGAACATTAAAATGTTTGATTGCACTGAAACAACTATCTGTCTGGACTTCTAGATGAAAGATAGAGTTACTACTTAAAAAAACCCAACCAAACAGACAACAAAACACAAGCACCTAAGTCAATGGTACTGCTCACGGAAGTTTCTAACATCAATAGCTAATAGCAATTGAGACATGACTGAAATAAACAAAAAAGAAAAATTGAAAGACAAACCCATGACCAAATATAACAAAATTTTCCAAAACACACGTGCTGAGAACACGACTGTTATATATACAGAACACACTAACATTCAATGGTAACTGAACAATTTCAGAATTTGATTTATCTCAGTCAAATCCAATTTTTCCTTCTAGCTCTAGACTGAAACTGATCAAAAGAAGAAAACATTACTTATTAATCTTAATGGTTTACCACTCAAAAGCTCACACTGTGGGCTCACAACTGTGCGCCAACATTTTCGTATAACATGGCAATGCATCTAACTTTAAAGGTCTTTTGCACAGAAACTGGCACATCTAACAACAGCAGAGAAGTTAAGCACAAAGTTCACTCCTTCAAGGGACCATCTATTGAACCACCAGTCAACCAAAGGGGAAGTGATGAAAACTTCACCACTGTGACAGAGGAAAGCAATAAAAGTAGCAATATAGCAGAAAAATACTACACACTACAGAAAGGCTATATGAGTAAGTGCTTTCCACCACCAGTTCCTCCAATTTCCTACCAATAACTATGTTACAGTAACAGCTTCAGTTGTTAAACTGAGAAAGTATTTCATTACTGAAAGCGCTGCATCTGGAGACGAAAAGAAAGAAGGAAGCCTTAGGAATATATAAAAAAAAAATTTGCCAGTATCAGATCAGTTATCAGTGTTCAACTACCTTAAAGATTGCACTAACCTTTTAAGTAGTTACAGATGGTTCAACCTGAAGTATTTACTATCCTCTCATTCTTCATCTGTCTAGACTAGCAGGAGCCACAGGCACACACTGAAAGTTTACAGAGACTAGCAGCTTTCATGCACTAGGGCTGTCTTGCATCCTCCGTTTTAGAAACTGAGCAACAGGATTAGAAAGGAAAGTTTTAAATCCATCATCAGTCAAAACAAGAAGTACCACACAAAACATGGAAAATGTTATTTTACTTGTTTTTTGTTACATCTAAATGATGAATTGTAAACCACCATCCTTTTAAACATCTCTTGTGGCTGCAAAAGAAAGAAAATTGCCAAACCAGATATTAATTTTTTGCTGTAAGTATCACCTACTCACAAATAATCTCACTGCTTTTTTTGCCCTTCTAGGGACTGAGTCACACTTGCACTTGTTAGTGCTTGTTCCCTATGCTGTTTCAAAATGAGATAACACACCCAGTAAAATAGTACTGAATACAAGGAGGAAAGAATTCTAGAGAAATTACATAAATAATGCACATTTCCATACCACAAGATTTCTTAAAAATATTTTCCATGACTCCTTTTATCCCTAGTTTCTACAGAACAGTGCTGGGGTCTCTTCTGCAGGATTTTTGAAAAAATACTTGGGAAAAAAAAATGGACAAAATGCTAGACAAGTAATTTCCAATATCTTGAAAAGTCATGATAAATATATGTTACATTTAAGACTTGCTCTCCTACCAGGGATTTCTTATACTGAAAGGTGAATTCCATTATTACATTTCTCATGAAGTTGATAAGAAGAAAAGATATGTGTATTTGGGCTCATCCTGAAAGAAGCAATTACCAAAATACCAACAACTAGTACAGATACTTTCTACTTAAAGAAAAAATCCTCCTCAGTTTAATGGACTTAGTTCTGAGTGGTCTTGCTTCAATTTGGATATATACAAGTAATTTCACATGATTGATTCATAATTGCTGGATTTATTTTATAGTGTTGGGCTTCTACGATTTTAATCCTGTATTGATTCTGTTTTTCTTTTGCTTCCAGTGCATTAACAAAACGGTACACTGTAGTTTAGAATCACTTAAAATACAGAACCTCTTATTATGTGGCAAAATTTTTCAAAAATAAAATGGGCTAAAAAAAATTATACAAAACACTCCTCACACCTCTCCAGCTTCTACTCAAAACCCTGCATCAAAGCAGGTAACATATTTGAGCTTTCTGAAACAAGACCAACTTTCTACAGACTAGACTATGTTATTTACGTTTCCAAACTCAATTTGCTTTAAAACAAATGACTGTTTCAGCTTCACTGCTGATTCTATCAGTGTCCTGTAGTCATACCATTACTTGGAAAAATTTATTTCCTTTTCCATCCACAGATGGTTTTGCTATAGCTATGGCCAATAATAACTGAAATTTCCAAACACTGCATGTCTTACCACACAGTATCTAAGAACCTGTCTCAGGTCCCTTGATACAGTTCTACAGAATCCGGCTTCAAATCTTGCAAATTAGAGGAAAGCTTTAATATCCATTCTACCTTTCAGAAATGCTGCATCCAGCCACAAAGGAGTGAGAGAAGAAAAATCTTTAGTAGCAGCAAGTGCATCAAAGCCTTCTAACTCACACAATAGTGAGTTAGCTTTGTGATAGCCGAGAGAGCAGAGACTAATGTTCATCTTTGTTTTGCTTCTCTGAAAACCCCACCACTAAATGATAACAATCCTCTCTTGCTCTCTGAGCCAAAATTTAATTAACTTTGCCATAAGTGTATTCCAATTCACTCTAGTCCAGCAGAGACAAACAGTTCACACTGATTTTGACCCAGAGCAGCCCTTTGCATTCAAGGCTACACTCATGGTTTCATTCTCACCCATCATTCTCCTATTTATAAGCAAGAACAATTTCATTTTCAAGAACTGTTAAAAGACCTTGGAATTCTGACCTGAATTCAGTTAATATGAAAACTTAAGTCACAACAGAGACTTCACTGTTCCTTTCTGGCCCAACTATTTTCCACATAACAGGAATACTGTACCCATTCTTGCATGCTTATTTTATTCTTATGTTCATGCCTTTCATCTTCTTTACTAGTGAACTGCTCAAATATTAGCTGTTTGGATCAAGTAAATCCATCAAGATCAGTTTCTAGTGTTTGGTATGCAGGACAGCTAAATTCAGATAAAAACAAGGTAGAACAAATTATGTGCATTATGTCACATTAAGACATAAAGACTGGATTTCCAGAAGGCATGTGAAATCTAGCGAGACAAGAAACAGGGTAGCAAAAGATACTTTGCCTTTTTCTTTACTTCGCTAAGAGAAGCTGAACCGGTCCTGTATCTGAACCATTGATTTAAATCAGCCCCCCACAAACAAACAAACAACATTCCTTCTGCACGAAATCAAATTCTAATTCTTATACGTTTCTGGAGACAGGCAGGTACCTCCTTGTCTGTTTTGTCATACGCTGGCCTCCTCATTTTTTAACTGACAGAAGTAGCCTCCCTCTTTACTTCGCATCCATGCAAGTCTTTCTCCACATACTACTGTGACTTCATTGCAGTGAGGATGAATAATCTTTACTGCATGAAGTCATAAATGGAAGTAAGAGGTAACAGGTCTACAAAACCAATTTATAGACTGTTTCTCTCAAAGTCCTATCAGAATACTGACCCCACTGAAACTGTGATCTTCCAACTAATGTAAGGCAGTTTGGGGATGAAGATGATTGACATCTGAAACACTTTAGCAGACTTGTGATTTGGAAAATGTGCATGCATACATAACAAACCGTAAGAAATTTCCCTATGGAGGTGGATATTATTGCCAATTTCTCAAAGTAATTATAAGCAGTCAGTAACAAAAAAACCCCAACCAAGCAACATTTTCAATTTGTACCAAGACTGTCTGATCACACTTAAGGGTATTATCAATTTTGCAAACTAGTTTATATTTGCACACCAGGTATTTATTTTCAAGAGCTAGATTACATTAACTGAAGACTATGATTCTACTCTGTTCATTCCTCCCCTAAGGGATTTCATATTGCTTAGAGATGCTGAACACAATCAAAACTAAAGCTCCAATGCATACAACTGAAGGAAATATGTACACTGGAGGGATCTGAATTTCTTTTTAGCTCATGTACCTGCCTTCTCTTGAGCAACTTACAAAAACTGCTTTCATTTATTATTTCAATCCATTTATAATATAGAAGTTTCAAGACAACTATGTCTGTGGGAAAACTGGTTACCAAGTATCACTTAAATTTGTTCAAACTATAACTGGGAAAATAAAGGAACAGGAGTATCTAAATTATTAAAGCAGAAAATGACAAAAAATCCATTGCACTTTAATGAAGGACAGCTAGGAATCTTATGTGCGTCATTTATTGTCAGACATAGCATAAGCTTGTAATTAAATAAATGAAATGCATGTGATGTTTCTTCCATCACTTAGAAAGCTCATGTTGCAATATGCTGCCTTGCTCGTATAAATGGATAGACAAACGCATGTCCACACATATGCATATAACAGACACACAACTAATTCTAACAGCATAAGTCATGATGACCCTCAAGAATCAATATTATTAATTGGTCCACCGGCTATTTTAGATGAATTTTCAGGGCTCTCACTTGGGACTTATCGCCGGGCACCACAATATTTATCTCTTTTTTTTTTTTTCTCTCCTTTCAGTAAGACTTGGCTCACCTTCTCTCATATACCACAATTCCCAAAGATGTTACATGGTTGGTCTTAAGATATTTAGCCCAAGATTTTTTTCTTCATTTACATTTGAAACAGAAATGGAAAAGAAATAAGAAAAAGAATCTGACTGCGAGTCAACTTTGCAGTAACACTGTATGACCAGTATATTGGAGTCTAACATATAACACCACTTTTTTTTCCTCTAGAAATGAAATAATGAGGTATATGTCTACATTTCAAGTATATTAATGACTACTTACAAAGTAAAAGTGCAGTGTAATTCATTTTTACCATTTTAATTTCTGAAAAATTAAGAATTTATAGAAATAAAAACCAGCATGTGAATAAATGAAAAATAAGATCTACAGAGTCTAAGGTCCTACACTGCTCTACAATTATGCACCCCGGTACAAAAGTTGTCACTAAAAGTGACTTTTAGATCATGGAACAAAAATGGAAAAATACACTTTTGTACTTACCATTAGTGATCACTTGAAAATCTACATGAATGTTAGTTAGCAGAAAATGAGACAAGCATTGATTCTTTGAGGACAAGTCAACAACAAATCCCACAGTATTGTAGCACTCGGAAAGGGAACATTAAAAGGCTTACCAGGGCCTCTGATTTGATTGTTGGCCTGACCATAAAGTTTGGGTCAGGATGCAGCATGACTGGTTTAGAGACTAGTGGTACCCCTGGATGTCGTTGGGTAGGTGGACTTGGAGCGAGTTGCTATGGAGTTAATTTAAGAAAATTACAATTCACCATGCAATTTGCGCAAATCCATCATTTCACCAAGATGTCTCAATTCAAATAGTTTATGGTAATGCATTTAATGACACCAATACAACAAAAAGGCTTACAGAATTATTTTAACTAAGACTTATAAATTCAACAAATCAAGACTTAATTTTTCTTGCATCCAAAATAGTAGCTAATTCCCCTAAACTCTGGCAAGATTATGGAAAAATCTCATCCCTGCTTTTGGCGTGTATCCCATAAAGGCAATGAACTGAATGAGGAACTACAGGAGGGGGGGAGGGAAAAGCTAAAGTTGAGTATAACAACATAGTGAACCTGAAATGAGATTTTAACTAATCTATGGCTAAATAGGTCTTTTAAGATGAAATTCACCAGGACAGCAGCAATCAGCTTTCCATAAAGAATTTCAAGTTAACTCATCTTGAGTTATAAGAGCAAAGGTCATTATACTAATTACCTACCCTTGACTCCACAAAGTACAGATACTCAGAGACATCTGAGACCTAATCATCCAGCACATACTAACCCGATTGTACACTTCTTACTCAGTCAAAACTCCCACTGACGTCAAGCATAGTTCTATTCAAGAAGAGTTCAAAACTGAGCCCTGTGGGTTTAGTTTCTGACTTAACCCCAGCAACTCTCAGCACACTCTCGTCAATGTTTCTCATAGGAAATGTGATGTATTCCAGATATCATTTATATAGTACAAGCTGTATCCTCTGAAATTATTTGAATTGCTTCCAGCAAAGTGGTTAAGCCATCTTTTTCCTTTTTTTTTTTTTTTTCAGTAGGGGAACTTTTGAGATTTTTTTCTTTCCTTTTTTAAATAATTTAAGAAAAAAGTTTTGGAACCAGATCTTTGAAAATCCCTGTGGATATCCCTCAGCTAATGTTGTTCACACCGCAAAATATACTGCATCGTTAAGCTTTCTATCTTAGAAGAATCGTCAGGTTCACGAATTATCAACTTGTTGAAGCTGCACTGGAAATGGATGATTTCTCCTGGAGTTGCACAATTTAGAGACGAACTTTTCTAGAGTACCTCAGAATGGGGAAACCTGACATCCAGCCATCCTGAATCAAAAGCATTGCAAGGAGTTGTCAAACAAATATTGGTTCTTCTGAGAAGAAAGCTTGTTTCTTAGCACCCGTTATGTTTAACATATAGTTTGGGCCTAGCTCTTGAGAAAAGAACAAAGTATATGCTCCATGACATACATATAGAACACACAAACATGGACTGTATGTTGCTGAAGTGTTGAAATATGAAGTCCTCAGACCATTACGCGTCACTTCCACTACCTGGTATTAGGTGTCTTTTAACACAGCAATGGATCCATGCACATGAATGCAAGTGCTGAATTTTAAATTAGCCATGCAGAGTCAAACCCTCAACATTTCCTTGACATTGGCATTACATATGAAATTCATAAAACTACAGTCATTATTAACAGAACATGACATACCAGCGGATTGCTTGACACAGAAGATACTTTGCCGACATGGGAGGTGTTTCTTACAACCTAAACGGTAACAGACTTAGTACTGGGTTCGTATAAAGTATATAACCAATAACAGTTTTGAGAAACAGGTCAATTTATACCAGATATTTTAATAGTCAGTTTTCAAGAATGTATTTTTGACAGGATTTCATTCTTTTGTCAGGTATTTGTGCAATCTGAATCTGAAATTAAATGATCCGGGGAAAAAAACCAAAAACTTAGTGACACAGAAAAGATTTACCAGTTTGAGTAATAGTAGAAAAGTGAACTTATGGGACAGCAACAGTTGTCTTATTTTCAGCTTTAGCAGGCATAAAGACAAGATCTTTTATTGCTGAAGTAAAATAAGTGCATTGCTTCTGCTTATCTGTGGTGTTAAAAACAGACTTTTTAAAAATCAGCAAGAATAAATTGTCCAGCTTCTGACTTTTCTTCTATGTCTGAAACCACATCAGGAATACTGGGTTATCTACTTGTAAACAAAGCAGCTTTGGTTCATTATTTGTTAATAATTAGTTACTAGGAGCTTAGTTCTTTCCTCATATACACTAATTCAGTGTAATTCAGTATATTCAGTGAAAACTGGCTTATCATTTTTGAAAGGTAGGGGTTTTTTTGTAGTTGTTGTTGCCTGACGTATTTGTCTTTAATTATTAACCTCTTCTCTCTAACATATCTAGCAGTGAAAAACTGCCAGAAACATGTATTGGAATATATGGGTTTGGGGTCAGATCCATTATGGCAGTTCTTGTATTACTTCCGTTATCTCATTATTTTCTATTAGCATTAGGAGAATGTATTTCTCTGAATGCTAGTATTTTGTACACTTGTGTCATTTCATACCATTTTTATTTTGCAAATAACTTGGGAAACATGTTACCCATAAGAACATCTGACATCTCCATTTCAGAAATGCATCTAGCATATTCTTGGCACTTCAAACATATAAAAACACACATATCAAGCACTGTCAGAGGTCTGCTTAAGTTTATAAGAGATTCATAGTTTACATTAGGGCAATTATTCACATAGAAATAGTCTGCCAGTTTCCCCTGATTATTTTGCATATCATTCCCCACCCCAACCAGAATCATGCAAAAGCAAAGCCTAGTATCTCCAAGTAAACATGCAAAAACAAACAAAAAAAAAGAAAATCAACAATGCAGTCAGTCAAACCATGCAGAAAACTGTAGGAAAGAAGTGACCACATGGGATCCTCTTCTGTTGTTTGAAACAAGTAAGAACCTTTTGCCATAAACCAAGTACATGAATCCCACTACAGGGCTTAGCAAAGAGAATTACGATTAAACAGCTGCCATTTCTCTCCTAAAGAGAGATCTGGCACAAGATTTCTTGTATTTAATCTTCTTTTGGACTGAGATTGTAGTAAGGACAAAGTCAGAATATTTTCTGAAAGAAATACCTAATTCCTGTGTGTCCAAAAAAAGTAACACCTGATTATCAACTCTTGTTCATTTAAAAGTATTTTACGGGTAAATTATACTGTGTTGAGGTTTTAAATGTTTGGGCTTCTGATTTTAAGCTTTGTCCACTCTTCTCACCTAACAAAGTAATTTGATGGCATATATAAACACTTTCACAAGTCTTTTTTACTACACGATATGCTGCCTGCCATTACTTTTTAAAATCTTTAAATACTCAAGTCCAAATTGTCTTTTTAACTGATACATTCTGCCCAAGATACCTGCATGTGGTAGGGTTACAACATATGTGGAGAGGAGAGAGAAAAACCCTCTTAACTTTAAAAAAAAAAAAAAAAAAATTAAACTACCTCTGGACTGTATTCACTACTATGAAACAATCTCATTCCTTCTTTTAACATTGCATATGGCAGATGGGTAAATCCAGTGGATAAAGTGCATGATGGAGCACAGGAGAGAAGCCAGGCAGGGGAATGGCAGAAGCGCATGCATCCAAACAGATCATGAGGTCACCTGGGAAGCTGGTGTTGCTGCCAAGGCTGGACCTCTTGAAAGGGGAATATTTGATGTAGGAAGCAGATGAGCTGATGATGCTGGAGTAACAGTGGGTGGTGGTGGCGGAGGTGGTACCACACGTTGTTTGGGCTTGTCAACTTCATCTAAGTTTATATCGTCAAGATCTGTGGTATGAAGCTGCAGGCCACCGGCAAAACGCCGCATAGATGTGGCAGAAGGAGAAGCAGAAGGACGTCCACTTGCCAACTATGTGCAACAGAACAGAAGTCTGCCTTAACAGCTCATCTGCCTGCAACAGCTCTAAAGAAACTAATGGCAAATGCTAGAACATCACTCGGCCTAACTGTTCCTGCACAGGAAGATTTTGGCTTCTCTCACACAGAATATACAGAAACTTTTTCTCTGAAAGCCTTTGTAAAAGAACTCCTTGGGATTCCCATTTAAAAAGAAGAAAACTTGAGTGCTGTGACAGTAGCCTTGGCTGTTGGAGCAGCGGGGGATGACACACAAAAAACCCCCCAAACCCAACAAAAAAACCCAACACCTGCATGGAATCTTCAGAAGGTAAAATCATAGGGCAAACCACAGATAACACAACTCTTGCCTCTCTAGCTCTTATAAAAAGAAAGCAAGAATTGCTCCTTGCAAAGGTGATTATATAAAAAGAAAGTAATTGAAGATGGGCCCTGAAATTCCACACCATTAAAAAAGGGAAAGGGGCTAAAGTCTGGTGTAAACATAACCAGGCATTAATACAAGAGAGGGAAGTAAGCTTAAGCAGCTATCAAAACAAAAAGTTTAGGGTGCTATGAAATTCAGACCCTCAGGAGGTTCTGGACTTTCTAATTTCTGGTAATCAACACCAGATGCATTGTAGGGCTAAAATTCCAGAGTTCAAACATGGTGAATTTGTGTGTATGAAGAAGGATTCTACATATGCTGGTTAGAGTTGCTAACATTTCTTTTATCAGTGTTCAAACTGAAGTACTGAAGACAGTTGATACTCTCTCATTTTGCTATTTTGTAGACTCAGCTGAGGAAATAGTAGAGCGCTGTCCTACAGACACATGCATCTTAGTCTAATAGGACAGTATTTCCCTCAAATGGGTATCTCTGTTGACATTCTTTGGGATCTCCTTATCTGCCATACTTGCCCCTTGGTACTAAAAAAATAGGTATTTCTTTGGCAGAGGTCAAGAGATGTATGACTGCTGTCGTATCCAAGTAGCAGTTCAAGCCTGTAGTACCTGAATATTGTTCAGCTGCATTTATGCCTCAAGCATCTGGTTTTGTGTTTTACATAAGTTTAACTGCTTGGGTAGTTTTGTAGAAGAATTTTAAGAGAATACTATGTATATATCTATAATGTAATAGAAGAATTGATAGAGCAAATACAACACAGTGCTTGTCTTAAATCAGGGTAGAGCTCTGGAAATACAACAGTGATTTCAATCTGTAATGTTCCCTCTTACTTTACAAAAGTAAGGGGGACAAAGATCTAGCAGAACACAGGCAGCCAAATTTAGACAGTGAGAGAAAACTCAGCATAATCATTCCACTGTCCTAGAGACCTGCACTGAAGAGCCACATGGATCTGAGCCTGAGGCCAAGAAGAACAGAAGACCAGCTGCTTTTTTCAGAGCTGCTCCACATTGACCTGAAGGAAATTCATGCGAGAGTGTTCCCCAAGGGTCCCCTTTGTGGTTGCAATTTCTTGGGGATCCTGGGGGAGTTCAGCAGATTGCAGTGTTCCTCTTGAAAGCAGCTGTGCTTGGAAGAAAGCCAGAGCAGCAGGATGGTGGGAAAGCTGCACTACACATCTAGAACCATCAGGCTCGAAGGCACAATCACTATCTGCAACCCCCTTCATTTAAGGAGACTATTTAAAACTCAAACCCAAACCCTATTCTCTGGGAGTTTCTTATCTTTCTGTCATATTCTTAACCTGTACCTTTATTCCATGCAACACAAGGAGGCATCTGAGAGCTCATCATCAATGATGTTCTTATTTGCATAGGATACTAAAACATATGGCTGGGTATTCTAGTCTCAATTTTTATTATTGGCAGCATGTCCCACCTAGCCCAAACAGCTCACAAGTCAATAAAATTGTTAATTTTGTGGTGATAATATACTTTAAAATGACAAAATAAAACCAGTTCATGAAAATAATTTAAAAAAATCCATAAAATATAGGAACAGCAAATGCTATAGATTGTAATTCATCAATTACTGAATTTTCCTCCCCGCCTCTTTGAATGAAGGCTGAGAAGGAAAGATCAAGACAGATTTTTCTCTGGTAAAAACCTATTGCTTTTAGGAGACAACTAGTGAGTTATTTAGAGATCATGCAATATATGGAGAAGCCAGAATTTTACCTCAGGAGAGTCATTCTCCACAGAGGAAATCTGTTCTAATCGTGTCTGACAAAGTCTTTCCACCCAGTGCTGCACCTTTTCTGACTCTTCCAGGTCTTCTCGTTCTGTCTCAGATACCTTAACCATAACATCAGTGCATGAAAAAAGATTATCGCTACAATTACAATACAAATATGTTTCAAAAGTATGAAATGCCATTTAAATTAGTTTTAAAACTAATTATGCTTTTGAGAATGATTTCCTAGTTTGCTGTCTTTCATTAAATTCCTCACTACACATGGACACTCATCAACTGCCCTCATTTGGGAAAAAACTGAGTGTAGAAACAAGCAAACTTGGGAACAGAGTTTTGCAGTGCAACAGCAATTTTTTTTAAACCTCATTATCTTTGACATAATTAAACAAGTGTCCTGCTAAGATATTTCCACTAAAAATTCAGCTCATTTTCTTTCAATATAATTTTGCACTTGATAGGAGAATACAACATACCTCTTGCACAAGACGATTTATTTTCAATTGTTTTTCTTTCTCCAGCATTCCTTCTTTCTCTTTCGCAAGTTTTTGCTCAAACTCCATTTCCTTTTTATTCTTCTTCTGTTCACACAGACTGTCACTTTTTGACTTCTTTCGCTCTTTCC